GAGGGAATCCTCTTCTATGATCCAGTCACCTCCAACCAGGCCCAAATTTAACATTGAGGATCACATTTCAACATAAGATTTGAAGGGGACAGACATCTAAACTATATCATTTTGCCCCTGCACCTCCACATCTCATGTCTTTCTCACATTTCAAAATATAAATCATGCATTTCCAATAGTCCCCCAAAGTCTTAACTTATGCAAGCACTAACTCAAAAGCCCCAAATCTAAAAGTCTCATCTGGAGATCAGTTCCTTCCATCTATGAGCCTGTGAGACAAAAAACTAGTTATTTACTCCCAAGATAAAATGGTGATACAGGTATTGGGTGAACATTCTTATTCCAAAAGGGAAAAATTGGCCAAAAATTGGGGCAATAGGCCCCACACAAGTTAGAAACCCAGCAGGAATGTCATTAAATCTTAAAGGTTCAAACAATCTCCTTTGACCTTATGTTCCACAACCTGGTGTGAGGGCTGGGCTGCCATGGCCTTAGGAAGCCTTGCCTCTGTGGCTTCTGTGGGTGCAGTCCACATGGCTGCTCTTCTAGGCTGCAATTGAGTGCCTGCAACTTTTCCATGCTGAAGCTGCAATCTGCTGGTGGCTCTACCATTCTCAGGTCTGGAGGTCAGTGACCTTCTTTCCACGGCTCTACTAGGCAGTGACCTGGTGGGACTCTTTGTGCGTCTCCAATCCCACATTTCCCCTCAGCATTGCCCTAGTAGAGTTTCTCTTTTGGGGCTCTTCACTGGTGGCAGGCTTCCACTTGGGCAACCAAGCTTTCCTATATATCCTCTAAATCTACCTGGGAGGGACCAAGCCTCCTTCACTCTTGCATTCTGTGCACCTGCAGGCTCAACATCCTGTAGAAGCAACTGAGGCTTATAGCAGCTTGTGCTCTTCAAAGTGGAGGACTGAGCTACACCTGTACCTGAACCTACATTGAGCCAAGGCTGGAGTTGGAGTGGCAAGGATGTAGAAAGCAATGGGGCCCTGAACCTGGACCCTGAAGCTGTTGTTTCTTCCCAGGCCTCTGGGCCTATGATGGCAGGGGCTTCCTTGAAGACTTCTAAAAAGCCTTTGAGGCCTTTTTTCTGTTGTATTCAATATTTGCACTTGGCTCGCTTAGTGCAAATATTGTGCACCTGCAGGCTCATGAGCCTGCAGGTCATGCCAGTCTCTCTAGCATGTAGTTGTTCTACAGCCTGCTTGAATTCCTTTCCTGAAAATGGTTTTATTTTTTCTCTGCCACATGGCGGCAGTGCAAAGTTTTCAAACTTTTATACTCTGCTTCCATTTTTATTGGAAGTTCTAACTTTAAGTCATTTATTCGCTCTTGTATCTGATTTAGGTTATTAGAAACAGCCAGGTCACATATCGAATGTGTTGCTGCTTAGAAATTTCTTCTGCCAGACACCCTAAGTAATCGGTCTTAAATTAAGTTTCCACAGATTCCTAAGATATAGACAGGATGCAACCAAGTTCTTTGCTGGGGACTAAGAAGAGTAACCTTTATTCTGGTTCCCAGTAAATATCCCATTTTCATCTGAGATCTCTGCAGCCTAAGACATCTCTGTCTGTATCTCTGTCAGCATTTTCATCAGAACCATTTAACCAGTCTCTAGGAAGTTCCAAACTTTTCCTCATCTTCCTGCTTCTTCTGAGCCTTCCAAATCCTTCCCCAACCTCTGCTCATTATCTACTTCCAAAGCTGCTCCCATATTTTCTGCTGTCTTTATAGCAACACCTCATTCCTTAGTACCAATTTTCTCCCTTAGTTTGCTTTTGCATCACTATCAAGGAATAGCTGAGGCTAGGTAATTTATAAATAAAAGAGATGTAATTGGCTCACAGTTCTGTAGGTCCCACAGGAAGAGTGGTGACAGGATTTGATCCTGGTGAGGCCTCAGAAAGCTTCCAATTATGGTGGAAGGCAAAGGAGAAGCAGGTACATACATGGTGAGAGAGGGAGCAAGGTGGGGAGGAGGTGTCAACAACCAGGTATGTGAACTTGGAGCAAGAACTCACTTATCACCAAGGGGGTGTTGTTAAGCCATTCATGAGGGATCCTCCCCCAGGATGTAGTCACCTCCCACTAGGCTTCACCTACAATGTTGGGAATCATATTTCAACATGAGATTTGGAGTAGACAAAAATCCCAACCCCATATTAAGAGCCACAAAAGAAATGGATACAGGAACCAAAGAAGGCACTGGCCTATGTAGAATAAGGTGGAAGCACAATAGGAGGCCACCTCAGTTTTTTTGGAATATTCTGCATTTTAATTCTGAATAATAATGTTCAATTCAGTTTAACACCCAAAAGTTGTTTAACTTAGAATTTTGAATTTTCTACTGATAAAACTTTTATGTCCTAATTAATGAAAATATCCCATTTGGTCACTTATCTTGAAGGTGATGATAAATGTTAAATAAGATCTTGTTTGCATTAACTCTGTGGGATGTGTATTTAAGGTGACTATACACTTCAGTGGGTTTTAGTAAATATTGGTTCTTGCTACATGATGGGAGCTGACAAGTAATGAATGACTCCATAATGGGAACAAAAAAAATGTCTGAAAGACTCAGGCGCACATAAGACAGTTGATCTTTCTGCATCATAAACTTTCATCCTTTGGACTTGCACAATTATCCAGTTTATGTTTGAGGTATTTCTTTATTGCTATATAAAGTGTTTGCCCTTCTTCTGTATGGATTACTGTATTTAAAAAATATTCAATGGCTTGTTTGGACACTATGGACTATATGAGACTATGTGGGCCTCTGTATGTTCATATTTTATTTGCAAGGTAAACTCATAGCCTTTGCAGAAGTAATGCCAACTAAAACATCCAGAAGAGATGTGCAGTCTGTTGTTTTAATAAGTACAGGCCATCTACTCTGTACAACAGAGCACAATGCTTAGCTTTGGTAACATTTGAAAAAAATGAAAGATAAGTTATGATTTTGTGTGAGCATTAAAATAAAACTACTATCTTAGATACCTTAGAACCACAAATATTTAGACCAAAGTGTCTTGTAAAATCTACCTGAAGGAAAGTTTGGTATAGCAAACTTATGACATTCCTACATTATTTTCTGTTTTGTTTTTAATAATCAGTAGGTGTTTTGTATTTTCTCTGGTTGGAACTAAGTGATCAGTTGCATGATTTCTCTTATTATGAAACATGTTGTTGTTGTTTTTTCCTTAACACTTACCTTCAAAGCAACTCTGGGTCTACCTGGCTCAAAAAATGAGAAATCTTAAGAAAAATTGGATTTTTTTTTCTCCAAATTACATGAGGCCTGCTATGATTTAAAGCTTATCTTTGTAGTTTCACTTTCTTACATTGAAAATTATACAGAACGATGAGTGATATATGATAATGTGAATGAGACAATCTTACATCACGTCTGGAAGATTTCTTTCAAATAAGGTACAGTGGTTAAAGAATAACTTTAATCCAATGAGTTCCTACATCTTCTGACCAAATAATACAAAATCTTGGTAACTGACAGTAAATTTGCAATTTGAAAATTATTATTCCGGATTATAAAATAGAAGAACCAGGTAGCATTTTTATACACTTATCGAATTACATATAATAGTAAATTTATTTATAAATGGCATGATATATAGCAGTAAAATGCCCAAACTCTGGAACCAGATCAGTGGTTCCAAATTCAAATTCTACTGTTTACCTGTGCAACTCTGACAGAATTATTTTACCTATCTTTGCAAAATTCTCCTTTATAATAATAATAGTACCTCTCTCATAGGGTGGTTGTGTTGTGCATCCCCAAGACCACCTTTAGCCTTCATGATTTCCTAATGCATCAGTCTGTTCTCTTGCTGCTAATAAAGACATACCTGAGACTGGATAATTTATAAAGGAAAGAGGTTTAATGGACTTACAGTTCCACAGGACTAGGGAGGCCTGAGAAAACTTACAATTATGAGGGAAGGGAAGCAAACATGTCCTTCTTCACATGGTGGCAGCAAGTAGAAGCACAGAACAAAAGGGAGAAAAGCCCCTTATAAAAGCATCAGATCTTGTGAGTCCCTCCCACAACATTTGGGGATTATGGGAACTATAATTCAAGATGATATTTGGGTAGGGACAGAGCCAAGCCATATCAACTAAGATACAGAAAGCTGTATAATCATAGTCATGCTTTATTACAGTGAAAGTATACAAATTAAGAACAGCAAAGGGAAATGTTTCATGGTGCAAAGTCCACAAACAAACTCCCTGGTATCCCCCCACCAGTGGAGTAACATGGAGATGTGATTAAAGCTGCCAGCAAAATGATACATAATCCATGAAATGTGGTAAACCAGGGAAGCTCAGCCAAGCTTTGGTTTCTAGAGTTCTGTCGGATGTCAGTCACATATACATGCAGCACTGGATGACCCAGATACCAGACTCCCTTCTCCCAAGAAAAATGTGTTCACCTTAAATCACATTTTAGAATAAATTTATCTGATCCATCTGAAACAGCATAGCTTAAAGCCTCATGCATAAACATACTCTTATTAGATAGACTTTTCTAGGAGTTCAGAGGTTATCTCCCAGAAGCTAGCTGAAGGTCAGACCTGAAGATTCACCTTCCTTTGTCATGTGCAGAATTTGAGTAACTCAGGCCTGCTGAGTTAACCCTTTCTTGCCGAACGATTATGAAGAATAAATGAGTTAATCCATGTAACTTAAAATAGTGCCTGGCATAGGATAGTACTTGGCACACTTAAGCAGCAAACAAGGATCAGCTATAATTTGTTCTATAGGAGTTCTATGGGCTGAATGAAGCTGACTAATTTGGAATAGAAATAAGAAATAGCTATTCTATGAATCTCGTTATGATGATAAATCCCCAAGTTTGAATGATGCGCATTATAAGCATATTAAACACTTTACCTATGGGTGCTTTAATAATAAAATTCTCAGTAAACATTAAATCCTGACTTTTTTTCCTTTTTTTTCCTTTTTTTTTTTTTTTGCAGAGCCTTGAAACCAGCAAAACAATAATCAAAGAGCAGTTCAGTCAAGGAAAACGCCATAACTCAGGTACACGAGTCATTCTCAACATGTAACATTAGCACATTATATTCATTTAAACTGATGATTAATTCAAGCTTATTAACAAAATATTTTACAATAATGGCAGTTAGGTGTTTTAGCATATGTATGACTGCATGTTATATAGATGATTTGCCATAATTTTATAGAGAAATTAATTTCTATAAATACCTTAAACTAATTTTGAGGGTTTTAGTAGGCCAGGGCTAGCCTAGGCAGAAATGTGAAGAAATTAACAAATTAATATTATTACTTCTTATTAAATCAAGACACATGCACTAAAGTTGCGTTGTTTGGGAAATGCTCATCTGTAAGGTGATTTTACAGAATTAGACACAACAGGCATGGTCCATTCTGCTTTCACAGTACTTACAGTCCAGCAGAGGCGATTCAGTAGATAACGATATATAAGTAGAAGCTGTGATAAATGCTATGATGTAAAATAACAGAATGGGACAAAATATTGAGAGACAAATGAAGAATATACTGTGGATTGGGTAAACAGAGACTGTTTCTCTGGAAGATGACATTTAAACTAAGGCCTAAACTAGGAGAATAAAGAGTCCCAGGCAGATGGAACAATATTCAGTAAAAAAAATAAACAAAGAAAAAAAGAAAACAGTTGAAAGGTGGATAATGTAGCTATAGCAAAGTCACAGAAGGGAAGACATATAAGACAAAGTAGGGTTGAAAATAAGATGAAAAGCCGAGTCCTGTAGGTCCTTAATACCCATTGTAAGATGCCTTTAAAGAAACAGGCATTAGAGTGAATCCGCAATCAACAGAATGGGAAAAAATTTTTGCAATCTACTCATCTGACAAAGGGTTCATATCCAGAATCTACAAAGAACTAAAACAGATTTACAAAAAAAAAAAACAAGCCCATTCAAAAGTGGGCGAAGGATATGAACAAACATTTTACAAAAGAAGGCATACATGAGGCCAACAAACATGAAAAAATGCTCATCATCACTGGTAATTAGAAAAATGCAAATCAAAACTACATTGAGATACCATCTCACGCCAGTTAGAATGGCGATCATTAGAAAATCTGGAGACGACAGATGCTGGAGGATGTGGAGAAATAGGAACACTTTTACACTGTTGGTGGGAGTGTAAATTAGTTCAACCATTGTGGAAGACAGTGTGGCGATTCCTCAAGGACCTAGAAATAGAAATTCCGTTTGACCCAGCAATCCCATTACTTGGTATATATCCAAAGGATTATAAATCGTTCTACTATAAGAACACATACACATGAATGTTCATTGCAGCACTGTTTTCAGTAGCAAAGACCTGGAACCAACCCAAATGCCCACTGATGATAGACTGGACAGGGAAAATGTGGCACATATATACCATGGAATACTATGTAGCCATCAAAAATGATGAGTTCATGTCCTTTGTTGGGATATGGATGAACCTGGAAACCATCATTCTCAGCAAACTGACACAAGAACAGAAAATCAAACATCACATGTTCTCACTCATAGGTGGGTGTTGAACAATGAGAACACATGGACACAGGGAGGGGAGCATCACATACTGGGGTCTGTCAGGGGGAAAGAGGGGAGGGACGGTGGGGGTAGGGAGTTGGGGAGAGATAGCATGGGGAGAAATGCCAGATATAGGTGATGGGGAGGAAGGCAGCAAATCACACTGCCATGTGTGTACCTGTGCAACAATCTTGCATGTTCTTTACATGGACCTGAAAACCTAAAAGACAATTAAAAAAAAAAAGGATGCCTTTGGACTTGCTCTGCTTCCGTTTCTGTGTGATGTCATTTGGTCTTCTCTCCTGGTCCCCTCAATATAGATGCTTTCAAATCATCACCTGACTTGACCTTACCCCCACGTGTGTGTGTGTGTGTGTGTGTGTGTGTGTGTGTGTGTACTTTTATTTAACTTAATATTTTCTGAAGTCATTTCCAGAATTATATTGAGAAATCTTTCAAAAGTTTACCTCTTGGGAGTATACATTTTAAGAGGTTTTTTTTTTTTTTTTTTTTTTTTTTTTACCTGAGACTGGCCTGCTTTTATGGAGCTTGACCTATTTTATGGCTATGTGCATTAAACTATGTTAGATAATTTTCTAGAATCTAGATAATGCAAGCAAGAAGAAAATATCTATTTGCATCATTGGTTTAGTTTTTTCAGCAGAAAATTTTTCTTGACCTTAATTCTATAGTTAATTTCCTCAAATCCTGATTATATTTCACATGTGAAAATATAGCCTCATGTATCAAGGACAAATGGAGTAAGAGCTTCCTAAATAATTTTCAACATCAGCATTAGTAATATTGGTTCTCTTAAACTAAACAGAGAAAAACTACATGAATTACTGTTTGCATCTCAGTTAATCTGAATCATATTTCTTTCCTTTGAAAATTCTTATTCTCTTTGTTTTATAAAGTTTTATACTGCAGACTTCTGAAAAATTCTTAAAGTAAGGCAAATGACTTAGGGTAATGCCTACTTTAGTACTTTAAAGAGGAATTTCATCTTTAAGAAATAGCTATGTTCCAAGAATCTCACCCTGTCACTCAGGGTCTTACTCTGTCACTCAGGCTGGATTGAAGTGGCCCAGTCATGGCTCACTGCAGCTTCCACCTCCCAGGATCAGGTGAGCCTCCCACCCCAGCCTCCTCAGTAGCTTGGATTACTGGCCTCCTCAGTAGACAGACTACCCCATGCCCATCTAATTTTGTAGAGATGAGGTTCTGCCATGTTTCCCAGTCTGGTCTTGAAACCCTGAGCTCAGGTGATTCGCCTATCTTGGCCTGCCAAAGTGCTGGGATTATAGGCATGAGCTACCATGCCATCCAATGATTTGACTGTATATAAAATGTGGAGATTTTAGACTTTGCAGCACTAAAAGTCGCAAAGCCCAGAGTTGATTTATGCTTATCCTAGAAGATAAGTTTTCAGCATATGTGTTAGAAAGGGCATCAACTTTTGTAGACCAATTCAGCATCTTCCAATTAAGTTGACTGTTATTAAAAACAGAGGCAAACATCACAGAATTTCCTAGGATTTCATAACTTACAGACAAAAAGTCTTGTTTCATCCCAGAAAGGCAAGAGACAGCTGCTTTTTAATTACTACTCTTGCCATTTGATTTCTCCTAGAGATGTGCCTCAAACTTGGAATCTAATTAGAAATCTTAATTGAAAATGGATTCTTAATGAAAAGAAAGAAATAAGACTAACATTGAAACATAAATGTAGGAAGAAAAACATCATATTCCAGCCCGATTGAATAATCACCTATTTGAAAACGAGCTGGCCTCTGGGGAGCATGTTATCTGACACCAAACTGAACTTTACTGTTTCCTCTTTCCGGAGGAATTTTCCAAAGCAAATGAGGGGTCTTGTAATCTGTAAATTATAGTTTGCAGGGATTATATTTTTCTCAGAATAAAATCAATGGTTTTAAATTTTGAAGCCTGGGCTAAATCCCAGCTCCTTTACTTGTTCCTAATGTGACCCTGGACAAATTTTGTAACTATTCTTAATCTCAGTTAACTCTTCTCTAAAGTGGGATTTTCAAATCCTGTTTTTCAACATTGTTTCTGTCTTGTTGCTCTCTTGACTGACATGTTGACTGGTATGTAGTAGCATATCTAGATATAGTAAGTTCTAGAAAGAAAGGAAAGGAATTTAAAAAGCAAGGAGGCGGCCGGGCGCGGTGGCTCAAGCCTGTAATCCCAGCACTTTGAGAGGTCGAAGCAGGTGGATCACGAGGTCAAGAGATCGAGACCATCCTGGTCAACATGGTGAAACCCCATCTCTACTAAAAATACAAAAAATTAGCTGGTCATGGTGGCGCATGCCTGTAATCCCAGCTACTCAGGAGGCTGAGGCAGGAGAATTGCCTGAACCCAGGAGGCGGAGGTTGCGGTGAGCCGAGATCACGCCATTGCACTCCAGCCTGGGTAACAAGAGTGAAACTCCATCTCAAAAAAAAAAAAAAAAAAAAGCAAGGAGGCTAACTTTGAGAATATGTAACAATATTGCAAATACAAAACACTGAGAAAATGCTTATTGATTCTGTACACTGGAGGTAAATACTTAAAGGCACATTTATTTATACATTTATTCAAACTCTTTTTTCTTGTAGATGTTCTAGATTCTGCTATCTAGAGTTAAACTCCAATTAAAGATACAGTAGCATATAATTTCTGAATTATTCATAGAACTTTGCATGCTGCTAGGCTTGATAGATGCTCAATTAATATTTGATTGATTGAGTGATGCTATGAACTACAATGCTGAGAAGCAGACAACAAATTCTCCTGTTCTCTGGTTTACAAAAATCATATCTGATATCTAGAATAAGATAAATTATGCTTCTGTGTTAATGTTTTCATTCGTTGATAGTAGAGATTCTAGCCAGACTGAATAATCACCCATCTGAAAATGTTCTGCTTCTGTGTGCGCTGTGACCATCAGATTGGCCAGTTTGCTATTATTTGTGTTCATTCCACACTACTAGATTTTTGTCTTTACTTGCATTTTTAAATATCCTCCAGTGTCAATATTCTCTTCCCTATTTTCTTTTCTATTCTTCGCCCATTCTTCTCCATCTCACTCTTCCTCCTCTTCTTTCCTTTTATCTTCCCTCATGTTTTTGATGAAAAATTTATTGCATTCTTATAAAAATCATTGCCTCTGGGAAACTGTCGTAGGTATTTTCTGAGATAATGTTCTTATCACATTTGTGTGTGTGTGTGTGTGTGTGTGTGTTTGTTTTCAGGCACGGTCCTTTTATCCATATCTGTGAAAATGGAAACGGAAACATAGAAAGTCAAGCCACATAGTATGTTAATGCCTTTTTCCTTCCATCTTCTCTCCTCTACTCTGTCCTGTTAACCTTTACTAACACACAAAAACAAAAACATCAAGGGAGTGGACCACTGGCAAAGCTTGCAGCTTCCTTCCATACTGCTCTCTAGGTTACTGGTAGGAAGAATTTAGGCCATGATCAAC